TTAATTAAATTTATAAAACATATTGGAATGTATATGTTTAATATTATAAAAAGTGGATTAAAGTTGATTAAAAAAAAATGTATGATTGACAATGACTTTATAATATAAAATGTGCTCTCAAATAATTAAAATATCTTTGAAAATAATTCTCAGTTTAAATATATAAACAAAGAAATATATTAGTAAAATTTACACAATTATAATTAAATTTCCCTTGTAATAGTTTCGATTGCAACAAACAAAAAATTTATTTAATTTCAGCTACTAATCTGGCTTTAATCACAAACTAAACAAATGTATCTATATGTATGTACCATATGTATATATATATTTAATAAATATTTACGAATCACACGCCAAACAATCGCAAATTACACGAATCGCTTTCCCTCTCTCTCGCTCTGTGTGTGAATTGTGTCAACGATTTAAATGCTAACCTGCCGAATCATTCAGCGAGATTAACATATGAGCATGCCCACAGCTACAATTAGTCACCCACACAGGCAAACACACGCACGACTACACACACACACACTCGCTTGATAGTACACGCCCACAAGGTCAAGGGCCGTCTGCCTCTGCCTAGGTCATGTACGAGTAGAACTTAAATGCAACCCTCACGAGTATTCAAATTTACTTTAAATACTCTATACTGTATGCTGGCGAATGGGGAGTATTGGTTAAAAGAGTGTAACAAGTATTAAATAATGTCTATATGAATAAATAAACAATAAATATATTTATATAGATATAAAATCCTTCAACAATATAATAGGTTATATTATTCTTATCATTCGTATGCCCAGTTATATATCTCCAATTATAAATATATCTATATTATTATAGGGTATTGCTTAGTCAGTGCTCTTCTCTTAGCCTCTCATCTAAGCAGCTAGCAGCTGACATACACACACACATATATGTCTATACAAACATATATATATCGGCCATATATTATTTGGCTGCTTTTATTTTTAGACACTGCCACGAAATGAAAGAATTGAAGAACGAGCGGAATTTTGATTTTTACGTTTATTATCTCTCAGTCTTCAAGTGTTTTCTACTACGTCGACGCTTGATTGTTTCATTGTTTGTTGTTTGTTTTGATTGCTGGGCTGTGCGAGCGTATTTGAGCCTGTGTGAGGGTGTGTGCGTTAACGATGAGTATTATTGCTGTAACTTGTATCGTAAATACAATTAATTATGGCCACCATCGTTTGGCCAAAGGCAATTTTCATCGCACTTCAAGCACTCGAAAATGAAATGCTGTAAAAACTTTATGACCCATTGCTCATTAGATTGTTGTTGTTGTGTTTATCAAAGTGTGTGAGTTTGTGTGCGTATGGACAGCTTTAGTGTGTGCTGACAGAGCGCATCTAGTTGTTGATTTTGCATGAGCAATCTCACATTATCACTCACACGCATTTGATGGGCTATTCGGAAAGACGAGAGACTCGTGATTGCTTTTAGATATTAAGGCTGCGGCTGATGGGCTCAATGAAACTAAGCTTTTCGCTAGAGCTTCAGGAATCTAATAAGATTAGGCATTAACTGAAGACAAAGAGAGAGAGAGAGATTTTTATTATGATTCCCAAATGATATATGGCAAACAATATACAGATTATGTTGTACTGTGTATACAGATTTGAATCGGCCCAAGGCGGAATTTTAATTACACATGGATTTAGAAGGATAATTAAATAAAGGATGGAGATTGCTGAGAGAAGGTTGGCTTGGGGCCTATGTTGAGCTGTCAGGATAATGTTTTGCTATATTAATTGGATTTTAATACTATGATAATTAAGTGTGAAGAAGGGAAATAATCTAATGCTATAATAGTTATGCAAGATTAAAGATTCTGGATTAAGGTTATGCAAGTCATATATTTGAATATCAGTTGAAGTAACTTAGTTTACATAAAATTAAAGATGTGAATTTTGCTTAAATTGATGGAGTATTTCAATAAAATTCTTTTATCATAATTCATTAAACGAACAGTCAACTCAGAGGCCTAAATGAAACATGCTCCCGGTGTCTTACTGATTGATTAAATTGATTTATGCATATTTTTAATCTGAATCATTAAAGTAAATATTCAATGATATGGGTTGAGTGATTGATGATTATTGCCAGAGCTTTATTTGATTGATGCCTTGGCTCATTCCCCTTCAAAACGTTTTGAGTACTCAACAAATTCTTTACAAGTTTCCCTAATTGAAAATCTCAAACTCACATTGACTTCGTGCCTGATTCCCTCTACAAACTTCGTGCTTCCAACAGCTCATTTAGGGAACTTTTTTGTTGGGTTTGTTTATGTGAATAACAATTAAAAAGAAAATTTAAGTGACTTTTACAAATCGCTTCGGTTCCTTTCCCTGAGTGTACTGCTGAATTTTGATTAAATCTTTTTCAATAGGCAACTTTTTGGTGAAACTTCCTCTTAATTTCCGTTTCTTTACTTTTACTTTTTACTTTTGCCGAAGCTTTTCAGTTGTTTTCATTATACACTTGGCCAATAATTCATTTTATAATGCCCAACAGCTTTGCCGATTGTTATAAATGATTGTTTTCAAGAACTTTTCAATTTGGCTATGCTGAGCGATTCCGATGCTGCTGTTGCTGATGCCCAAATTTATCGCCCATTGGCAATCAATAAGCCGCAGTAAAACTAATTTTGTCGTGTCTTGAACTAATTAAACTCACACAGTTCAACAAATCTCTTGATAGCTATCTCGCTTGCTCTTAGTAGCTGTCTGCCTCTCCCTCTCTCCCTCTCTCACTCTCTCTCACTTTCGTTCTTTTGGAAACCCCTTTCTTGGCAGCATGAGCTAATTGCTAGCCCTTTACAGCTTGACTTTCCGTTTCGGCTGCTTGCGTGCCTGAAGAAAACACACTCAAAGATGTAGTCAAGCATAGTCGACATTGGGATATCCTTTAATTGAAAAATACTATTGAAAAATGCAAGTTTTTCTTTGTTTTCTTATGTTTATGTATGAAAATGGTAAAAGTTTATATTGGATTTATATATGGATGTAAATATTCAATTTGAGTACAATTGCCGCAGATTAGTATATAACTGGGTATATACATGTAAAGATAATTGATTAAATTTAGATGAAATTGCCTGTGACTTTTGATATATTGCACTACTAAGGCTTAGATATAAATAAAATAAAATCTATCTTGTCTCAAGCATTTATTCGCATATTTATTTTAAGCCCTTTTGCACAATATACACCCGCTCGCAAATCACTTACAGTGTATAGATTGAGCCAAGAAATGCACTACTTACACACGAGCAGCTTGAAGGCTCATGCTCTCGTTTCCGCTGGGCGTGTGTTGAGTAATTTTCAACTGCTTAGCAGCGGAAATGGGTAATTTCCGTAGCTGCTGCCACAAAACAAAAAAGAAACAACAACAATAACAACACTATCAAAAGAAGCGAAAGTAACACACTCACACATACACACACACACGCATACACACACAAGAGCTTAGCAGGTTTTAACTTTTTGATTGGCTTTTTGTTGCAGTCGAGACAAAAAAAAAGTAATAATGAGGAAGTAGCTGCCAGATTGGAGACTTGTTAAGTATTTGGCCTAATGGAAAGGTTAAGCAGGACTGAATCACTAGAAAATGACCTGGCTTAAATAGTAAAATCCTGTATAAAGCTGTATTTTTGCTTAAATTCTGTATTTAATTAACTCTAATAAGAACACATGTTTTATATGCTATGCAAATTTCAATTCATATATTGTATTATTTATATTATCTATAAGCAAAGATGCGTTCCCCTTTTTCATTGTCAAAATTTGGCCAACTAATTAATTCTTGGATTTTTGCTGACCAATTAGAATTACGAAAAGCCAAAAAATCAAATGCTATGAAAATACGCAACCGGCCAAAAATAGAAACAAGCAAATAAGACGACGAAGAAAATTTGCAATGCGCAGAAAGCATTTGACACTGAAATTTGGCCAAAACTGGTTGCGACCTGTTGCAAGAGAAGATTTTTCTGGCTGAAAATTTGTCTCATTTAGCTTTAAGCTCAAGCATTTTTTTAGGTGTGGCCAGGTGAAAGGTAAATAAAATAAATTGCCTGACCGCAAAGCAGGCAAATTAATTTTAACTCAATAGCTAAGTAAATAAAGCGATAAACAAATTCACACACACACACATGCAGACACACTCAAATGAAAAGAGTGTAAATAAGAATATATACAGGCAATTGTATACCCTACAATTCGTCAAACACTGCTCATTCTAGCCAGGCAGCAACAAGAAAAACAACAATATAACTGTTATTAATCAAGTGCGGACAACGGCAGCAACAGCAGCACCAGCACCACCAACACCAATACCACCGCCATACATTCAATAGCACCACACAGGATCACATTCATATCTACCATTACAACAACAACAACGAAAACAACTACAGCAACAAAATGAATTTAATGTTTCGCAAGAATTTTCGCGAGGGCGCCAGCAAATCTGGCGGCGGCGGCGGCAAACTTCAATCGAAGGCGAATCGTACAAAACGTTCGCGTGATATGGGCATGGTGCAGCAGCCGGAGGAGATACACTATCGCACGCATCTCTTCTTCTCGCCAAATCGGCCCGGCTATGATGTGGGCGAAGGTAAATTGTCGCCAAAGCAATTGAGCAAAGCAACATGACAGCCATTGCACACACACACACTCTCTCTCTGTTTCTCTCTCTCTCTTTATATCTATATCTCTCTCTATATTTCTTTATATATATTTTTTTCTTATACTCTTGCCTCTTTCTCTCGCTCTTTTGTGTTCTCAGCTCAGTTATTTGCGCCCCATTAACCCATTAACGCCCTACTTCATTTACGTTTACATTTTAACCCATTTCCATTTCCATTCGCATTCGCATTCAAATGTTTTCATCAATTTTACAAATGGCTGGCAACGAGGACTCTTGCGAGCTGGCAATTGTTATGCAGGCTCAATTAAGCACAAATAGGCGACAATCATTGAGTATATACAATTAGGGCGCAGCATCTGTGGCGAATACGTAATATGTGTGCATAGCACGCATACGCAGCGTAACGCATAGCAATCGTTAAATGGGGAGGTTGGTATTTTTGTTGTACTTATGAGATTGTGTTAGGGTTTTTAATAGCTGTTTTAGTGAATGAATATTATATTAATAAAATTAAATATTTTTAATTCACTTAAGATGAAAGTTAGATAAAAGATATCTTAAATAGTTTACTTTTTCAGTGCATATAAAAATTTGTCTTATACATTTTTTAAATTTTATATATTATATTCAAAGATATAAATAGTTTGAGCATTGCATTGAGAATTATATTTTATAGATATTTACAGAGAAATGTTGATTCATCACATACGTATTATCAATTCAAATTACTACTATGATTTAATGTATCTATGTATATATTATTAGTAAATGATATATTATATGTATTTTTGGTCTATATGTAGAAACATTTATTTGAGTAGAAATATAGGAAATATGAACCTCTATTAAATACAATGATTTATTATAGATATACATATATCTATATGAAATCCACTTAGATTCTAGTTAGACTTGTGTATTTACATATATCTCGCTTTACCATCTCTTCTAATAACATGTCACGTCTCTAATCTATCAGCTTATCAAAAAATCGCAATCTAAAGCAATTTGCTGTACAACACTTTGCAGGCTTATTTAGGCACGCATGCAAGAACCGCTTGCCAATGATAATAGCGGAGTGCTCTATATACTACATTATACATATGTATATCATATAATATATTTATATATAAATCTATGCYATACATATATATATTTATATTGTAGTATTTGAATTTGGTAAAAATTAAAGCTCAAACGTTATCAAAATGCTCAACTATTTTGCTTATCTACGAATTTCCAGTTGGCTTGGCTTTTAGGGCACAAGACGTATGTAAGCTGCGATTCTATATATATTTATTTTGTTTTTGGCAATGGTAATGGCCTTGAATGTGCATTATTGTAAAATAAAAGAAAAGAGCAAAATTTAGCAGAAGGTCAAGCGAATGGAACTTGTGTTTAGCGTATGTATATGCGACATATCTCTATATATATATCCAGCTAACAGTTAATTGTAGTACTGCAATGCCTACTAATACTCTATGAAAGAAAAGCTGATGAATATGTCTAGTTTTGTGTAAATACATAAATGTACATTCGACATAGATATATGTGCCTAACTGCAACAACAGAAAACTGAAAAAATAAAACTTTCACCCAACACAAAAAAAAAACTCTATCCACTCTATCCTCTGCCCACCAACCCAATCCAAATGCAATCCGAATCCAACCCAGATTCAATTTTATAAATTCACTCTCTCTCTCTCAATTATGATTTGTTTGTTTGATTTTTTTTCTCGTTTGTTTTTGTGTTGTGTGTCCAATATAAAATATCGACAGAATCCATTGCAGAACGATGTAGCGCACTATCGGGCATACCCAGTACCCCGACCACGTCCACGTCCTTTACACAGCCAAACAATCCCTATGAGGTGGACCTACCGCAGCCGCTGGTCGATAGATCCGTGTCGCTGATGCGTTGGAACAGCAGCGGCAACAGCGCCGGCACAAATAACAGTCTCATCCGTTTGCAGCAACAGTTGCAACCGCAGCAGCAGCAACAGCAGCAGCAGCAGCAACAGTTACAGCAGCAGCAGCAACAGCTACAGCAGCATCAACTCCTGCCAACCTACTCGTATCAGCATCATCAACTGCCACAAACTCTCAGTGCGACGAACACTTATTTAACGGCTGCCGCTGCGGCGACGCGGCAAGGTTTGAGCCCCACAACTTGTCAACTTGTTGTTGTTGTTGCTGCCACAGAAAATTAAAGAAAACGAATACAGTGAAATCTTCTATGAGCGAACAAGCGGCTTCAATGTAATTTGTAAATCATTTGCACTCAAGATCTTCATTGTCTCCCAGAAGCGGCCTGCATTATATCGCTAGAAAAAAGTTGTGCAACTGTTCAACTAGAAAACTTTTTAGAAGAGTTTTAGAAAGCAGTACTTGAATAGAAAATATAGTATCTTTATAAAACTCAAATTTAAGGTGTCTCAACATCCTATATCAATTCAAAAACATCAACTATTTCCTTTTCATAGATAATGAGCTTAAACGTAAAATTCATGATGTTAGTAAAAGCTTACTACGATGGAAGATATGAAATGAAATTTCTATGAAAGTACTTCAGGCACTCCTAGAGAATATACTATAAAAGAGAAGTCTTTTGTTCCTATAGAGCTGTCCGTTATTGGAGATTTCACTGTATAACTAAATACACTGCAAGAACTATCGAACTAATCTCAAATCTAAATGCTCACAACCAGCATCTGTTGTGCACTGATTCCCTAAACACACACACACACATACGAGCACGCACACAGACACACTCAAACAAATTTAATACAGTTATACTCCAATCCTAACCTCAATGAGAAAAAAGGACTCTGTTTCATAGTTTGATCCTTACTCCTTCTTGTTGTTTCTCATCTTGATGTTGTTGGTGCAAGTTTTTGTTGTGTTGATTGAATACTGAAAGCTAGACATGTTTTTATTTGTACTCGCTTTAAAGCTTTTGCGCTTATGTTGGCTTTGAGTTTGACGAAAGCTTTGAAAGTGATGAGCTTTCAGTATTTGACTAATATACGCTTAAATAGTCTAATAAAAGCTTACAACATGAGGATCTTACTGCAAAAGCCATTTACTTGACGCTTTAAGCTCGTGGTCATTTTGAATTAGAGGATCTGAAGGAAAAGCTTCGAAATCAACAAAGGCGAGGCTTTAAACCAATAACAATTTACTACTAATAACAATTTTCTTGCTTATAACTTTAATATTGATGATCCATGTGATCGGAAAAGCTTCACAAAGCTGAACACATTTTACGCTTATCCGTATTAAAAATATTTCCTTATGATCTATTGTAACATTGTTGTTTCTATTTTACTTAATTAAAAGCTCCTCAAACCCTAAAATTGAATTTTTCCTTTACAGGCAACTTTGGTAGTGGTGGCACCGCGGGAACCACTCGGGCAGAGCCCATATCCCTGGCTACCTTGGATCGCGATTGCTTCATCATTCCGGTGCACAGCGTAGATCGTTTTCTGCCAGCTGGCATACCAGTAAGAGAAATTGAAGCATCTATTGAAAGATCTCTTAAAGCTTTTTTTTCTCTCTCTCTCTCTCTCTCTCTCTCTCTCTCTCTCTCTCTCTCTCTCTCTCTCTGTCTCTCCATGTATTTCTCTTTGGTTAGTTACCCGCTCTGAGTGCCGATGGCAAGGCGTGCAGTCCGTTAAGCGTTTTGGAGGTCTCTGATCCCAAGTTGTGCATACTTGTCCATCTCATGAGTCCACTGGAAGCCATAGATCCCGTGATGGAATCACCGCTCTCCCATCCGCTGCTGAAGCAACGCGCCATTGCCTCAGAGCTCTTAACAGAGGTACAGCAGGCAAATACAGCTGTCGGTGGCATGATACTAGTCAACATGGAAAAGAGCTGTAAGTTGATGGGGACATAAAAAATAATGATCCACTCTTTCTAATCTAATTTCTAATTTCATTTTTATTACAGCCGAATTTCCTTTTATATCATATTACCTGATAAACACGATGCAAACGGATCCATCGAATTTCTATGCCAACCTACGCGTCTCTTCGCTATCTAAATTCGAGCCGAAAGCACTCAAGTAAGCCAATCAACAATAATCATGCGCATTAATAATGTAATTCTTGCTCCTATACCCTGTAATCTAAAAACTGAAAGATAGGTAATGCCTAGTGCGGAGCACACTTATTTATTTATGTGAAAAGTTACACATGTACCAGATAGAAGGAGCTTTAGTATTTCAACTGGGCTACTGGGTAAATCATATTCAGTCATCTTAATCAAGTTTCAGGGTACAGGGTATGCTTTCCTCGAAGCACAATCGTATTTTAATATGTTTTAAGTTCCAGGATATTTCGTATTTCATCAGCTCACACGTTTTGCTATTCAATTAAATTGTTAACCCCTCCTCCTCCCCCACAGATACACTGCCGCGCACACGCTGGACCTGTACAGCGAGGTGGCTGCCATTTGCCGACCGCCTTTGGTTCTGCCCTCCAACGAGGCGGGCAGCTTTAAGAAATCCCAGACAGCGGCCACTGGCTACATAATCAGCGTGTTCAAGGCAAGTCCGAGAAACATATATACGTATATCATATATATAGATATATTTGTGTGTGCAATGTATGTCAATATAAAATGCAAAATTTAATTTTAGGTTTTCGAGGGCGACGATGGCGAGCGCTTCGAAAAGAATTGGCTGTACTGGACAGGAGCGCGAATGTTGTACAGGTGAGCAGAGCTTAAGCCTCTATATATGTATTAATGTATCTGTATCTGTATCTGTATCTGTATCTGTATCTGTATCTGTATCTGTATCTGTATCTGTATCTGTATCTGTATCTGTATCTGTATCTGTTACTTTACCTTTGACTATATCCATACTCAGTTTGCATATCTTTGTTTGTTTTACAGATATTTACCTCGCGCTGCGGGCCTTCGTCGAATTGCCTTGCACAAGAGCACCTCACAGAAGGGCGACAAAATGTATCTGTTGGTGTGTGAGTGTGCGGAACTTTTGAAGGATATTTCATTGGCCGCATTTTTAATACCCGCACTGCGTGCCCGTCTATGCGGCTACACGGGACTCTATCGACCAATACAGACTTTCTAGAGCAAATAAAAACTACTATTTTTCTATGCTGTAAATAGAGATGGGAAACTGAAAACTGAAAACTGAAAAAAGGCAAATGTTAATAAGTGAATCGATTTTTAACTAATGATTAATGGGATATACTTATATATATATCTACATATATATGTATNCATCTGCATCTGCATCTGCATCTGTATCTGTATCTGTATCTGTATCTGTATCTGTATCTGTATCTGTATCAGTATCTGTATCTGTATCTGTATCTGTATCTGTATCTGTATCTGTATCTGTATCTGTATCTGTATCTGTATCTGTATCTGTATCTGTATCTGTATCTGTATCTGTATCTGTATCTGTATCTGTTACTTTACCTTTGACTATATCCATACTCAGTTTGCATATCTTTGTTTGTTTTACAGATATTTACCTCGCGCTGCGGGCCTTCGTCGAATTGCCTTGCACAAGAGCACCTCACAGAAGGGCGACAAAATGTATCTGTTGGTGTGTGAGTGTGCGGAACTTTTGAAGGATATTTCATTGGCCGCATTTTTAATACCCGCACTGCGTGCCCGTCTATGCGGCTACACGGGACTCTATCGACCAATACAGACTTTCTAGAGCAAATAAAAACTACTATTTTTCTATGCTGTAAATAGAGATGGGAAACTGAAAACTGAAAACTGAAAAAAGGCAAATGTTAATAAGTGAATCGATTTTTAACTAATGATTAATGGGATATACTTATATATATATCTACATATATATGTATATATATATAAAGCCAACACAAGCAACTTTTAAAATTTAATAGGCACAGAAACACACACAAGGCAATATCATTAGCAAGTAGACAATATACTCAAGGTAACTCATATCGTACATATGTTAACTTTTTCTATATATATAGACGCAACACAAATAGGACCATATCTAGTGTGAAAAGAAGACAACGTTAAAACAAAGCAAAGCAAAACAATACAACTTCCATTTTTTAGCCGTGCATATAGATTTTCAATTCTACTTAAGTATATACTCTATATATACATATATATATGTATACATAAATATATATATACATATACATAGCCAAGTTACGCTGAATTTTTATTAAAACTATGCGCTGAAATGTAGGCTATGAAATTACAAGTCAATTCTTTAATTCATTAGTGTTGATTAGTTTGTATACCGATTAGATATACATACATACATACATGTAGTGAAAGGAAATCACATTTTATTGGGTTTCGACAACTAATCAAACAAAAAAAAAAATTTAACAAGAATCAAGCAAGTGCTACAACATAATGTGAATACATTGCCCAAATCTAACAAAAATCTGCCAACAAAMTTATAAACAAAATATTAAAATAATTTAATAAATAAATAGCTCTATTAAAGCCACATTTTAGCCAGTTCAAAAATATCTTAAAAAGCAAGCCAAAAATAATAATAATAAATTAAATAAAAATCTTTCTAAACTAATTTTATTCAATAATTTAAGCAATTTGCTTAGCTGCAGCTGAACATAAAATATAAATTAAAATACATAGAAAATGAGAAATGAAAAACAATAATAATTAGCTTAGTTCTTATGCAAAAGTCAGGAGTTGTAAATACCTGAGATAAAGACATTTTCAACTTTCGTTTTGGCATAAATCTAATTTTGCACAATAATAATAAAAGAAATCAAAAAGTGCTGTGATAATTAACCAGAGATTTAATGTACTATGTGAATTATTCGAATGCATTCGAATGGCAGCAGAATCATAATTAATAAAATAACAGTAATTTATATAATTAAGTTGTAAGCTAAATTAAATTTTAGATTATTTCAATATTTTTCGCAGTTAATTTTTTATTATAAGTAAAAACTATAAAAACATACATAGATTGTTTTTATTTTACCTTAAATCCTTTCAATCACTTTCCTTTTCTTCTCTCTATAAATCATTAAAAAAAATAACTCAAAAAATAATACAAAAATAAATCAAAATTAATATTTATTAAAAATTTAACATTTTTTTCCTGCTTTTTATTTTGCCTTTTATTTTTAAACACTTTATGAAAAGTATCTTAAGTTAAATTTAATATAATTATTCAGCATAAGTAAGAAAAAATATATAGTTAAAAAATTGCTGCTAAAATGCTAAAGCCTAATAAAATAATAATAATAATATATAATTAAAATATAATAAAACTCTATATGCATTCAAATATTATTTTTCTAATCTTTTCACAATTTAAAAGCTATAAGCTTGGCAGTTTTGAATTATTTACCATTTAATTTAAACAAAGTAAGGCATACAAGAGTATTTTCAACAGTTTCGCTTTGCTTTGAGCCCGCTCTTGAATAGATAACCTCGGGTAACGCTTTACTTTCTGAGCTAACCAAAAATGTTGTCAAAAAAGAAGTTACCGCGCCGCTGCTTGGATTCCACGACTTTCTGGCGATGCAGCAGATATGCCTGCAGCTTTTGGGGCTGACGTGGCCCCCAATCTTTGGTGGGCTGCAGAGCAAGTCGAAATTTCTGCAGAAGAAAATTTTTATAGCCCGATTAGAAATTGGGAGAGATTAATGTGACTTACGGTGAGGAAACTGTGACCCGGCTGCTGGTAGATTGTGTAGAGCGCCCAGAAGGGCAGCTGAGCCACGCCCAGGCCCCAGATRAGCCAGCCAGCCATGTAGGCTGCCTCTGGGTACTCGACGCCCTTATATGTGAGCGGCTCGTAGCTGACCAGCATATAGACGAGCACAAGGAACATTAAGCCCGGCGCCATTATGGCCCAGCAGATGCGCCAATAGAAGCCGGTCTTCACATTCAGCATGAACTCGATGTCGCTGCACAGACGCTTGACGCCATAGACCCAGGAGAAGGCGAACAGTTCAGCTATGGCCATCACCAGGGCAATGAAAGTGCACCCATAGAAGTCCACCAGATTCAGTATGAACTGTCCGCCGGGCGTCATGTAGACCAGCCCACAGAGAAAGCCAACGATAGAGGCGCCTATAGCGAGCTGCCAGTGCTGCAGGTGGGGGAAGCGATCCTTGATCACATTGATCACACAAGTGGCCATGCCGATGTTGCTGCCAATGCCTAGCACTAACAGCATGAAGAAGAAGAGCACAGCGAACATTTGCGGCAAATACTTAAACTTGGCTATGGCCTCCGGATACGAGATGAAGGCCAAGCCGGCGCCTCCCTTCACCACCTTCGATATGTCCGTCACATTGGTCTCGTGGGCCAAATTCCCGAGAATGCCAAAGATGATGCAGCCAGCCAAAATGGACGTAAAGGAATCTATAGTAGTGACTATGATGACATCTCTGTGGCGATTCATGGCAAGAAATTCATATCCGTTATACTCAAATTTATATCAAATCATTTCTTGGACTCACTTGTGAACACGCTTGCTGAAGTCATTGAAGGAGGCGTACATGACCAGTGTGCCAAAGCAAATGGCCAGGGAGAAGAACATTTGGGTGATGGCCGCATACCAGACATGCGGATTGAGCAGCTGACTCCACTGCGGCTGTATAAAGTAGACTATGCCATTCCAGGCGCCTGGCAATGTCAGCGCTCTGACCAGTAGGATCAGCATAATCACGTAGGGAAAGAGTGCCAGAAAGTAGGATGCCTTGCCCGAGCTGCGTATACCCTTGACAAGCGTGAGGGCTATGATGATCCAAGTGGCCAACAGGCACAAGATCATTTCTTTGCTGGGCGTGCCGAGGCCCTCATCCAAACTGTACGGTTCACGTAGCACAGTCTGACTGCAAGTGGAGAGAGGAATCAATGTTTCAGTAGGTATCCTATAGTCGAGTATCCGATCTTTGACTGAAATAGTTGACACTTACGTGAAATAAAGCTCAGCTGAGGATTTGCCCTGTAGAGAGGTGCTGATATTGCTGCTATCATTGGCCGTTGCTCCGGTTGCTACACACTGAGCGCCCCACTCGGCGAGGCAATACGTCCAGGGTAGCACCTCGGAGAACGAGACCACCAAATAGCGGATAGTCAGAGCCATGATGCAGGCGTAGTATGTTGTAGCCAAGGCAGTGGAATACACCTGGCCATAGGCAACACCTGCAAGTCATAATTGAAATACATCAAGTACAAAATAGATAAGATGACAATGGAAATTTATAAAAATTCGACTAAGTTTTTCAGGCCGAAGAAATAGTTTTATATATGTATTTAATACTATTCATTTATTGTTTTCAGTGTACCTCGAAAAATTGGGGCCAAATCAAAGGCGCCAATGCAGCCGCGACTGCTGAACTGTCCGATGATCACCTCCAGGTAGTAAATTGGACGACCCACCAGCAGCAAGACCACCAGATAGGGTATCAGAAATGCACCGCCCCCATTCTCCAGAGCTATAAATGGAAAACGCCAAACGTTGCCCAGGCCCACACTGAGCGCAATGCACGAAAACAGAAACTCAACGCCTTTGCTCCAAGTATCACGCTCGGCTGCCATGGGCTGATCGGCTCCCTCCTCATCCATTTCCAACTGTGCATCGTGATTTAAATGTGATTAATCGTAGCACTTGATATACCCAAAGCTTAACTTACCAATTCGGAGGTGTAGACCACACAATCTATCTCCTTCGTCAACTTGAGACTCTCATCCATTCGTTTAAGCTTTGCGAATTCTTTGCTATCCATGTTTATGTACGAGCGACGAGCGATGCAGGAACAACAGTGCATGTGCTGGAATGAATAGGTCTTTTATAGGGCACACGCGCCTACCAATTATTATATAGGGTTTACGATAAGAGATGCATTGTCTCTTTGCTCTCTAATATCGTACGAGATTTGCTTCAAGTTGATAAGCCTGCAATTAGAGCTAGCAGAATATACAGATACGCTGATAAACAATTAATAAACTGGAAAACATTTTCAAATACCTCGACAGTGAATATTAAAAGTTATTATTTTAATTAATGCCTTAAGTGCAGCTTAAATGTGAAATACTTAATTTTATTTGCTTACTAACTAGATGCCTCATTAATAAAAAAAAGGCCATTGCAGACTTTTGTGCGGGCCTAAAATTTAAATATATCAAAATGATGTACCACATCTTATAATGTGTATATGCTTATATACACGCCAGCAGCCCCTGTGGGTTTTATTCAACTAAAAGGTTGTCAGAAAAACCGAAGTCTGAATACAAATTTTGCTAACATATGAGGCCAATTCAAAATCGGCAGAAAAATTTGTGTTATGAAAAAAGTATTGCATACTTTTATGCGATCAAAAAATTAGCTATGTCGCCATTTAGAAGCTGTGCCTCAAAATTAAGTTTTTAACGAAAATTTGGCTGAGGTAGCAGGCGAACAGAAGACACAGAAAATTGCTATGAGAAATGTGCACAAAATTGATTGCATACCCCAAAATGTCATATGGTAAATGAATTATTGCAACATAGATAACAGAGTTAAATCACGGGTCTGTTCAGCTATAAATCAATTAAGGTTGAATTACTGGGACATAGATTCCAAACGAATCATTTATTAAAAACTTCCTAAGATCTATAGGGTAGAACGGTATTTTCCCTACGTAGTATCATCTCATTGGCAATTGTTTACAACTTTCCTGTATGAAACTCATTCATCATTTTTTTTAGATTGGTGATGGGTGCAACAGCTTCTGTGTGTTTTGGGCAATAAACCCCTATCAAATAAGCAGCAGCTCAAGTTCAATGTACACTCATTGAGGCAACCCAGACTGTTAAAGCTAGTAGTCAGAATTGTGTATTTAGTATTATTTAATTATCATAAAACTAGAGAATTTCTAAAACATTTTGGGTACCAGACAAATTTTAGCCAAATGCAAACAGAACTTTTGAATAGAGATAAGCATACTAAATCAAATGTGTGCTAAGACTGGGTTATTAAGGCCAAATATGATATACATAGCTTTATGAGTATTAATCCTTCTCACTTTAAAAAAATTTATAGAGCTAGATCAAAGAGAACACTCAAATTACATTTTAACATTGACTACAACCTTTTTTTTTAATTTTTAAATTTTAATATTTAAATAAAAAATAACTTTTGCACAATAAAAACAATTTTTAATAAAAATTAAGCTTGCATTTTTTATCAAAGCTAGAGTTCAAATTATAGAAATTAACATTGGAATCAAATAAAATAGTAGCTTAACATATTCTCAAGTCAATATTTGAATCTCACGTGTAACACTTTTAGGTAAAACGGGTTTCACTCGGTAAGCGATGAGCACTGCCAGCCACCTCCAACTGGTACGAGCAACGCGACGCGACTAATTTGAAATCTAACTGATAAACCGAAAAGAAATATTCGCAGCATCTCTCGGACGGGGGCTTGTCACTGATTGTGATTATGCTATGATTTTTGTTGCTTTTGTATTGGTATACCCTATCCATCCAGTTGGATCTAGTTGAGGCGAGAGAAGAGGGGCGAGTCAGTCTGCTGCTCGCAAAATGCAAAATGGTTTAATTGAAAGTTCTCTTTAATGCGCCGCCGATGCACTTAAGAATATTTTCTTATATATACACATGCACAAAATATAAAGCTGATCTATTGGTAATTTCAAAAGTGGGTGTTCTACTCTACAAGGTTTTTTTGTTGAGAATATATATATTTCTATAAATGTAAATACAGTATAAAATATTAAATATGTATGCATATATGTGTATAAATAATAAATTCAAAATAATTGAACAAATAATTATTTAATTATCGCAAAGGTCTACATACATGTACATCTATCTATATATATAGAT